GGGAGCCACCAGGGAGTGATTTAAATAGGTTTATTTCTTCATTTACAAGAGGAATATATTTGGCTTCTCTCTTAAGACTCTGAGATTCACAATCAGCAGCCCTAAAAAATAAAGGAGCAGTTTGGCTTCCGGAAGGAAGAGGAGGCAACACTCGGACCTGGTTCTTGTACAACAAGAAAACATGGCTGGGGCCCCACTGAGGCTGAGGCTGGAGTGGGGGTGGAGGCTGGTCTTTGGGGGATACCACCCCCACCCCATCCTCTTGTCAGACCCCCAGGGTACCCCAGAGCTTGGTGGGTGGGTGTTCCACTAGCTTACACACCACTGAAGCCACAGCCAGCCAGTAACTAAGGGGCAAGAAGAGCATTGTCCAAGCTGGCTCTTGGGGCCTCCTGTTGGCCACAAGGGCCCCCCCCGCACCAGAACCACCTCGATTGCAGCAGACGCGCAGGGAGTGTGACGCAGGAGGTAAGCTCCCCCAAAGCGGGTTGGGGCTGGTGTGAAGTTGGCAGCCGCATCCCGGTGTGTGCACGGATGGGATGTGGGTGATCGAAGGCCTGGCCCCCAGGGTCATTTGGTGGAATACCAGCGGGTAGGGGCTGGCGTCTCCCGGGGGCCTCTGCCTCAGCTCTGGGGCAGGAAACTTTGTGGATAGCTGCTTCCTCCAGCAGCCAGAGCCCTGGCTGCTGCCCCACGGATTCTGGGAATGGTCTCCTGGGCCCTGCCCCTGGAAAAGGCTTGGCTCAGCCTCAGGGAGGGAGTGGGTTCCTGGCTTGGGGGCTGGTGGCAGGGAGAGGAGTCCTGCAGAGGTGGGCTGGTGTGTCCCTCCTAGAGCCCTCGAGCCTGGGGGCACAGGTGGTGTACAGCTGCAGCCAGGGCCTTCACCCCTGGTGATGCCAGCTTGTCAGAACAGTCCCCATCTGGGACCTCCAGGCTAGGCGCCAACCCGAGATAGTGTCCTCCAGAGAGACCAGCCAGGCCAGGGAGTACCCAGCGACTTGGGTGCCCAGCTTCAGTTGCCAGGTTGAGTCCGATATCCCCGAGGTCCGAGGCCCAGCTGAGAAGCAGTGGTCCCGCACACCAGGCCCTTACGTGAGCCTCAAAGCCAGGACTGCCGCCCTGAGGCCTGGGCCACCTGCTCTCTGTAAGGTCCAGGGTCTGTCGAGTCTTCAAAGCTGCAGATCCTGCTTTGCCCAGCAAGTTGTGTGGGAAAGTCCGGCCCCCTGGCCCTTCGTTCCAGGGAGGGCAGGGACTTGCCCAAGATCACATAAGCTGGTGGCAGGCCAGGCTCTCCCCGGACACCCACTTGGGGCTGTCTTCTTCCTTGGCCCCAGGGGCCCTGCAGCCCCAACCTAGGGCTGGGAATCTGTCCAACCATGTGGCTCCAACACACACATCCTTCCAGGGTAACTGAGGACACAGCCTCTTCTTGATGCCAGGGCCACTCAGCAGGCCCAGGCCAGAGAGGGGGGATGCCCAGCCGTGGATCACACACAAAGCTTTGGGGCAGCCCAGCCGGTCCCGGACGCTGTAGGACACCTCCCGGACGAGGTGGGAATGTGAGTTCTTCATTGTCCCAATGGCACCTGGGGAAAGGGGTTGTTAGGTCAGAAGTGGGGCTTAGTGAGGCCTATTCCACGGCTGCCCTCCCTCCTTCCCTTTTCTTGCTGTTTGGAGACGCAGGCCTTCCGCTGGTCTTGGGGCTGTGACCCTGGCTCTGGTGCTGCTGGGAAGCTATAGCTCCCAGAGGGAAGGTCCAAGGAGTCAGGCCCTGGTACATCTAGGAGGATCTGGGAGAACAGAAGTCCGGACAGAGTGGGGAGTTCCTGGCCAGTCCTGGCCCTGACCTATGTGAGGCCCCACCCAGCCCTTGGAAGGAAGGAAAGGGGAGCTCATTTACTGGAAGGAGGAGCCTGCTGTCCCACCCATGGCTCCATCAGTAAATTCTGGCAACATCTTCAGAGACCAAGCCCAGGGTTGGTGGGATGTGCTGGGGCAGGAGGTGACTCCGAAGAACAGTGCTCCCTGTCGCCTCACCCTGGCCTTCCCCCTCCCGCAGGGAGCCCCCGCGGGCCTCCCGGCCTGCACTCACCACCTCAGACTTTCACAGATGCGGGCGGCATCACCAGCTGGTTCACCCTGGGGGAGAGACGGGCGGGGGTCAGGGCGGCGCATCAGCGGGGGCCGGGCCCGGGCACTGCTCTGGCACATCGCGTCCTGGGGGCCAGCTGACCGGAGGTGCTGGGCAGGGACCTCGTCAGCCCCAGGGGGAGGTGGGAGAGCCCAGGGGTGGGGAGAGGAGAGAGAGAGAGGAGTAAAGAGGAAAGGAGAAAAGTCAGAAAGTAAGAGGAAGGGGAGGGGGTCCCAGCTTTGAAAACCACTAAGTCCAGAGCCAAACCCATGTCTGGACCCACTGGACACCCCTGTGGCCCCCCACAGCTCCAGGCTGACCCTGGTGCTGAGCCCCAGAGGCACGGAAAGGCCCGGGGGCTGGACCCCAGCAACCAGGTCACCCACCGGGTGCATGGGAGGTCTGTACCCTCCCCACCCATCCCAGGGCAGGGCTCACAGGGGCTATCACGGTCCCTGCTTCCCAGCAGGCCTTCCCTCACCCCCACTCACTGCTGCTCAGCCTTGGCGCGGTCGCTGAGGAAGAAGAGAGCGGTGGCGAGGAAGAACATGCCACCCAGGACCACGACGAAGGGGCAGAGCATGAGCGCGTAGCCCAGGCTCAGGAACTCCCAGAGCGGGGAGTCCTTGGTGCTCTGGCGGATCAGGTCTGAGATCTGTGAAGATTTGGGGGTGGATGTCAGGGCAGAGCCCTCCTGAAGCCCCCCAACCTCTCCAGGCCAGCCCCACCCCAGGGTTACTCACAAAGCCAATGAGGTAGGGGCTCCCGGCATCCCCCAGCAGGTGGGAGGTGAAGCTCTGCAAGGCCACAGCAGTGGCCCGCCGGGTGGGGATGACCACGTACTGCGGAACAGGCAGGCAGGTCAGCGGCCAGAGGAGCCAGGCCCACCCGCCTGGCCCCAGCCCCGGGCCATGGCGCTTCTAAAGCCCCCACACCCTCAGACTCTCCCCTGCCCTGGATCTTGACACCTCTCCCTGCTGGGCCCTACCTCCTCCCCACAGTCCCCTCTACTGCCCACCCCACCAGCCTGGCTGCTCCTCTCCCACCAGTCACCCCTCCTCCCTGATCCCCTTCCACACACAGCTGCAGTCACCCCCTCAGCCCCAGGGGCTTCCACACCTTCAACCCAGACCACTGCAGCCTGCCCCAGACTGAAAGCATCAGTGGCCTCAAACCTGCTGCGCCCCCAGGACACCCCTCAGAAATGACAATCTTCACCTCCCTCCCAGCTACATGCAGTCAAGGGAGGATACTTTGGGGGTTGTGCGGGTGCCAGTCACTAGAGGCCATTAGCCCGGAGGCCTCCAAGTCTTGGAGTACCCAAGACATCAGGAACGGCCGCGCTGCCACCTTCCTGGGGTGGCTCCTGCTCCATTCCTGAGACCAGGGTGCCTTGGCTTCTGCCCTGGGTCATGGGGACACTGAGATCCAGAGAGGCACGTGTTCCCGAGGGAACCCGAACCCCAGCCGTGGCCATTTGTCCTCACCTCCCAACAAGCTAAAGACCCATCTTGGTTCCTTCCCCTCCCTGAAGACCAAGTGAGGCCTCGACTGGCCTGGGACGGGAGCTGGCCCCTCACCCATGGGCACCCTCAGCACTGAGTGCCAGGCCCTGCTGGGCCCCAGACCCACAGGAGCTTTGCTTCAAAGCTGGGCAGGCCAGAGTCAGGAGGGGCTGGGGTGGAGGTGGGATAGGCACAGCCAGCTCTGTGGGTGCCCAGGCAGCCCCTGTGCCCCAAACTCCGGCTGCCTTGCCTCCTTGGAGCGCCAGCCTTAGTGGGCATTGTGTGCAAGCAGCCAGCACCCACGGGGCATCCCGTTACGGGAGGTGGGGGCGGATAGAAAAAGGCCTGAGCCTGATGAGTGACCCCATTTCCAGCAGGAATAAACTGTGACACTTAATAAACTGGGACACGATTTCCCTGGGACCCTGACCCTGCTGGCAGTTGTCAGGGGCTCCCTGGGGGTGGAGGCACGGGAGGGGTCGTGCCCAGCACCAAGAGCACCTGAGCCACAGACTCACTCCTCCCTTCACGCTGGGCCTGTGCAGTGACCCTGGCACACCCCTGCCACTGCCCCAGCCCATGGACTCAGGAGGACACAGTGACACCCCGGGGGTAGCGGAGATGCTGGGAGGCTTGGGGTGGGGTGAGGCAGGCTTCCCAAAGTGCAGGAGCCACGGTCCCTGGCAGACTCATCTCCGGGGCTATGCCATGCTGGGGCGCCCAACCCCGAGCACCCTGAGAGTCCACCCCTGAGTCCCTCTCTCTGCCCCAAAGTCTGCCCCGACACCTCCCAGATACTCTCCCCTGGCCACGGGACCAAGTGTCACACCCCTGCCACCCCTAGATGGCCACAAAGCCCTAGCCCCACTCCTGGCTCCTCCCAGGGTGCTCCCATCCCCACCCAGGGACCCAAGCCCCTGCTGGCTGCTCAGACAGCCCTTTGTCCCTGGCTGGCTGGTCTAGAGCCCATTGTTGGCCCTGTGAAGACAGCCTCTGTCCGCCCGGCCCCAGCCGCAGGCACGCCTGGGAGCCAGGCTGAGCAGGGAGGGCAGAGCCCATGGATGCTCAGACCCCAGGGCGGGGTGGGAGGAGTGCTGGCAGGCAGCACCACCTCAGTGCCAGCCTGGCACTGCCAGCCTACCAGACACTAACCTGAGCCTTGAGACACCCTCTCCCACTCGGTCCCCACATCTCGCTCTGCCTGCCTGCCCAACCCTGTTTTCCTGCGCTGTCCGGAGGCCGACCCCAAACTCTGATCCCCTCCCTGCCTCTGGGTTCATATTCCTGGCAGGCCTGCCTTCCCCACCACCCACTTCCAGCTCTCCCATCCCTTCATCGGCCCTCCCCAGCCACCCCTGTGAGGTCAAGAGGCCTGGGTCCGCAGCACAAGGTGACCTCGGCCTGCCTGGCTCACCATGAGGATGTCTGCAGTGATGGCCCAGTTAGAAAACAGCAGCGTCTCCCCGACGAAGATACAGATCTGCCCAGGAGAATGCAAAGCCACCATCAGGGGTGCCTCCATCCACAGCAGCTGCAGCCTGCTCCCTACACACTGGCTGCTGGCAGGGAGCCCACGAATCCTCACCCCTCCCAGGCCCACATCCATTCATGGGCTAACCAGAGACCAAGCCATCCCCGCGGCCCTGAGACACCCAGAGGCCCTGGACAGGCCGTGGCCAGGCTGAGGATGAGCAGGGGCAGCCAGAGATCAGGAGCCTCCCCAAGGGAAGGGAACGTCCAGCAAATCAGATCGAATGTCCTGTTCCAGACCCTCCCGTGGCCCAGGTCCAGCTTCCCGGCACCCTTGCCCCCCGACTGCACTCACATAGGCCCCTACAATGCTGCTCTTGGCAGCCACGAAGATCAGGCAGATGAAGATGGCAGAGCCCAGCATGCCCACGGCACACACCAGTGGGTCGGCCCGTTGGGTCTTCAGGCGGCACCAGCGCGTGGCTCCTGCACCCGTGACCACACCCAGAAAGCCCGTAAAGCAGGTGATGGCCCCAAAGATGAGACTGTGGGGACAGAGGACAGTGGGGCATGAGTTGAGGGGGCTAAGGCCGAGGAGCTCCTGTCCGAGGTCCCTCGCCAGCCCCGGGCCCAGCCCGCGGGCCCCACCTGTCCTTGGCTCCACAGGGCGGGCTGTTGCACGTCTCCGCTGTCTTCTGTACAACTTGAGCGCGGTGCAGGTAGAGCGGGATCCACATGCCCAGGGCCCCTGTGGCGAAGGAGACAGCCGACGTGGCCAGGGAGGAGAAGACGTAGCTGCGGCTGGGGAGAGGCCAGGCAGTGACACTGAGCTCAGGGACCTCCTTCAGCCCCCATAGGCAGCCCCATGCACTGGGGAACAGGAGGCCCCGAATGCCTCATCTTACAGGCTCCAGGGATGAGGGTTCAGGCTGCAGGAATAATGATTCTAGGGGCCAAAATATCCCCCCTAGCACTGAGGCAGCAGAGGTGGTGGGGTGTCTGGCTGAGGGTGCTGGTGGGCTGCCCTGCAGGGAGAGGCCCTCTCATCTCAGCACCCTTCCCTCTTCCCACCAGACCCCTTCCCAGGTACTCACTTTCGAATCAGGGCCTTCATATCTCGGAGCCATGAGGTCCGGGTCTTGAGCTGGTCCCCGAGCTGGTCAGCATGGCCCCTTTTAGTGGCCGGGACCAGGATGAGGATGAGTGTTCCTGTGATCATGCCCAGGACAGGGGACACCTGCCAGGGAGCAGGAAGTTAGGACACCAGGGCCCAGTGAGCCTTGTCCCTGCTGCAGGAGGAGGGACTCAGGCAAGCCGTGCCTTTTCTAGGCCCTAGGGGTCTCCTCTGAGCTGGTATCTGCCCAGTCTTCCTAACTGGGCTGCTGAGAAAAGCTGGGGCTGAGGTCAGTCAAGAGACTGGAGGCTTGAGAAGGACTGTCCAGACCAGGGGCAGGACCAGAATGGGAAGGGTACAGGGAAGCCCGGCAGACTGAAGGAAGGAGGAGGGGTGGGTGAGTGGAGCGGTGGATGGGTGGATGGAGAAGAGATGGCTAAAGAGGGGGATGGAGAGATGGACAGAGAGAGAGGGAGGGAGGGACGGACGGATGGACAGACAGATGGATGGACAGATGAATGGAAGATAAGTAGCCAGATGGGATGATGACTTTCAGGGAGGAGATAATTCCTGGAGAAGGTTCCCCATGTAGGTTCCTCAGTCGCGGGGCCCTGGGAAGGTGCTGTCCGGGTATGAAGTGTTGGACTGACAGATCAGGTGGGCTGGCATTTGGTGGGGGGCCCATGCAGGCCCCACAGAGGTTCATGAGCCCTTTTGGATCTCCCCTGTGTCCAGCCCATTTTCCAGAACAGAACTTCCAAGGCCCCAGGCTTCTCTCCGGATGGGAGGGTGACATCCTGGCAGCCTGGATTCCATCTCACCAGCCCCACAGAACAATCTCCCGCATGCCCCCGGGACTGGGAGCCCCTGGGCTGGGGAGTTCCTCTGCCTGCGGCCTCCCTCTCGCCCCCCCCACCTGTCCCCCACCCACACTAAGAAATTCCACGGAGGCCACTTCCTTCCTGCTTTTAGGAAAAAACACTTTGTCTTAAGCTTCCGCTCCTCCGAGAGACTGGGGATCTCTGTTTCCTCCGATTGCACTGTCCTGGGGCCTTGGTAACTTGCCCCAAACCCAGCGAGACAGGAAGTGGCTCCAGACCCTGGGGCCCCCACACAGAGGTCTTGTCCCAGCCTTACCCTAGCACAGTGCCAGGGCTGGAAGCAGGAAGCTCCGCCACGGACCTGGAATTTCCTGACGTGGTGGGAGAATCCTTGATTCTCTCAACCTGGGACTCCCGGGCGGGAGATTCCAACCCTCAGCCTGGGGGCCCTGAGGGTGGCAGGGCTGTGTCTGGCTCTGACACCTCAATCTGGACTCATCTGGAAGGGCAGGGATTTCAGAGTCCAGGCAGCTGGGGGAGGAATCCTGGAGGTCGGTGTCCTAGCCTGGGGTACATCTCTGGGCAACCCTGGGGCGAGATCTGGACTGAAGAGTGTCCTCGTAGGAAGGGACGTAGGCCTTACCCGCAATGCCCAGTGCCAGTCTCCGGCTGCCTGCTTCACGCTGGAGCCAGTGATGTAGCCCAGGCCACTGCAGAGAAGAGAGACACGTCAGGCTGAGCAGAGACAGGGGCTGGGGACAGGGAGTGCCTGCTGGTCTGCAAGGCAGGCTGCCCACCCTCCCCACCCAGCCAGCTGGCCAGGGAGCAGGTCCAGGCATTTCTCAAAGGCTGACCACCTACATGTTTAGTTCTCTGAGGGCACCCACCTGGGCCAGAACCCCAGGGAGTGGGAGCACTCAAAAGTCCAAGGGAACCTTGCCCAGATCCTCACCCAGCCCCTGGCATCTCCGGGTCTCACCTGCCCAGTGGGATGGCGAAGTAGAAGACGGACAGCATGAGCGTTCGCGTGTTCTTGGTGAAGAGGTCGCCAATGATAGTGGGGGCGATAGTGGAGTAGCTGGCCTCACCGATGCCCACCAGCCCCCGGGACAGGACCAACAGCCAGAAGTACTGTGGGGAGGGGTAGAGGATGCTAGGGTACCAGCTACCCATTGTCTGCCTCTCATCCCTTGTTCCCACTTTGCTCCCTCCCCCTGCAGGGCCCAGGAGCCAGGAGAGAGAAGGGTGAGGGTGCTGGTGGGCTGCACCTCCATAAAGACCACCTCCCCCGGCCACTCCGGGCCTCAGTTTGCCCCTCTGTGTAGTGGGTCCGACGGGGCCAGGACTATCCCAGCTTGAGAGTGGTATGGCCCAGGCAGGCCCCTCTGTCCTCATAGGCACTGGGGACACAAGCCTATGTCTCCACTACTTCTCCAACTGGGAGACCTCCTCCCTGGTTCTGACTCCACTTCGGGAGCCTCAAGCCACCACCCTCCACTCTGTCCCTCCCCCAAGCCGGGTGGCTGGGCCAGCCCTGGCAGCACTGAGGGCCCAGTGGGGAGTGGGGAGTGGGGAGTGGGCAGGGAAGCCCAGGGGACCCAGAACCACCCCCCGTACACATCAAAGGGCAAAGCCTGGCTGAGCGGGGAAGGGTGGGGCCCTGCCAGCTGCTGGTAGCATGACCCCTTTGATGTGGACCTGCTCCCTCCATGCCCCAGCTGCCCGGGGCCTGAGAACCCAGCCTGGTCATCTTTCCCCAGCCCCACCCTGGCCACCCATCTGGCCAGCATCGCCCACGTCCAGCCCTCCCCCGGGTCTCCCTGACTTCCCTCCATCTGCTCACCTCGCTCCTGGCTGCTGTGCCTGCAGGTGCTGCCTGTGTTGACCCATCTCTGACCGCTTCATGCTTGTGTCTCCTCCTCCTCCCTCTCCCCATCTCCCTATTTGCCCTTACCTCCTCACCTCTGTTTCTCTTCCTGGCAATCACCTGCCTACAGCCTTGGCCTGTTTTTCTGTTGGGTCATTTGTCTCTTTTGCATTAATTTCTTTTTCTTTTCTTTTCTTTTTTTTTTTTTTGAGACGGAGTCTTGCTCTGTTGCTCAGGCTGGAGTGCAGTGGTGCCATCTCACTTACTGCAACTTCTGCGCCCCGGGTTCAAGTGATTCTCCTGCCTCAGCCTCCTGAGGAGATGGGATTATAGGCACCCAGCACCACACCCAGCTAATTTTTGAATTTTTGTAGAGACGGGGTTTCGCCATGTTGACCAGGCTGCTCTTGATCTGCCTGCCTCTGCCTCCCAAAGTGCTGGGATTACAGGCGTGAGCCACCACATCCGGCCCTCTGTTTGCTTTTAAAAAACAAACATGAGGCTGGGCACGGGGGCTCATGCCTATAATCCCAGCACTTTAGGAAGCTGAGGCAGGAGGGCTGCTTGAGGCCAGGAGTTCGAGACCAGCCTGGGTAACATAGCAAGATCTTATCTCTACAAAAATTTTGAAAATAAGATAAAAATCAGGCCAGGCATGGTGGCTCACGCCTGTAATCCCAGCACTTTGGGAAATCAAGGCGAGTGGATCACCTGAAGTCAGGAATTTGAGACCAGCCTGGTCAACATGGTGAAACCCCATCTCTACTAAAAATACAAAAATTAGCCGGGCGTGGTGGCAGGCGCCTATAATCGCAGCTACGCGGGAAGCTGAGGCAGGAGAATCGCTTGAACCTGGTGGTGGGGGAGAAGGTGGCAGAGGTTGCAGTGAGCCAAGATTGCGCCACCGCACTCCATCCTGGGCGAAAGAGCGAAACTGTCTCAAAACAAACAACATTTAAAAATCAAATGAACATGAAAGGAAACCCTCCACGCATCTTATCCTGTAACTTGCTTTTGCCCCCTCATTCTTATTTTTTTGAAACCCATTTATGCTGGTTAATTAAGTTCTTGTTCATTCTTTTCCTATTGAGTCTCACAGGGCCGGGGACGGTGGCTCACGCCTATAATTCCAGCACTTTAGGAGGCTGAGGTGGTAGGATCACCTGAGGTCAGGAGTTCGAGACTAGCCTGGTCAACATGGTGAAACCCCATCTCTATTAAAAATACAAAAATTAGCTGGGTGTGGTGGCGGGTGCCTGTAATCCCAGCTACTTGGGAGGCTGAGGCAGGAGAATCACTTGAACCTGGGAGGTGGAGGTTGCAGTGAGCCGAGATCGTGCCATTGCACTCCAGCCTGGACAACAAGAGCAAAACTCTGTCTTGGAAAGAGTCATATATACCATTAAACTGTGTGCACCAGTGATGGTCATTTAGATTGCTTTTTTTCTTTCTTTTTTTTTGGTATTACTGCTCTTCTTACATGCATGTATCTACAAGCTCTTCTTACATGCATGTATCTACAAGAGAGAAACATTTCTCTCTTGAGTGTATACCCCAAGCAGAAGGCTGGGCCATGGGAGATACACAGAGTTTTACAATATCCTGCCATTTTGCTCTCCAAAGAGGTTCTACCAATTTACACTCCCACCAGCAGGGCTGGAGTCCCCGATTCCCCACAGCTTTGATCACACTTGGTACTGTCAGCCTTTTTAATTGTTGCCAATCTGACGGGTGTGAAATGGGATCTCATTGTTGTTCTAATTTGCATTTCCCTGATGACTAGAGAAGCTGAGCACTGTCTCTTCCGACATGTATTGGCCATTTGGGTATTTTCTCCTGAAACTGTAGCTATCCCTTGCGCATTTTTCTACTGAGTTATTTGTCTTTTTCTTGTTGATTCATAGTTCTAGATTTTTTTTTTTTTTTTTTTTTTTTTTTTTTTTTTTTTTTTTT